ATGGATATAGAGAGATACATATAGATAAGAGGGTAGACGGACAGAAATAGTGAGAGAGAGAAATGGATAAATGGATAGATATATAGATAGAGAGGTAGATACAGATAAAGGGACGGATGGATAGAAACAAAGAGGGGACTAAATGGATAGAAGGAATGCTAGCTACAGAGATAGAGAGACAGAAATAAATGGATAGATGAACATCGATAGAGAAATAAAGGGGGAGTTGTCAAACAAAATTCAAATTTTTGACACGCTGGCTGGAGCTTTGAAAGCCGGAGGTCAGGAAGCAGAGAGATGGGAGATATTTTGCTGCTGGCTACTTACATTTTAATGTTTTCATGGTATTGCCTGGTGTCCGAAGGTTGGTTGTACAGGGGCTGAAAAAGACAAGAATATTTGAAGTGTGAAAGAGGGCAAGGACAGAGCAGGGGGGGCCTGCTGGGGTTCAAAAGCTGACAGCTTGGAAGTCTCCAGATTTAAAGAAGGGATGTCCTTGAAGCTCCAAATGTGGTCAAATATCCAAGCAACATCACTCGTTTGGTTGCACCCTCCTGCCTCTTTCATTCATTTTTTCCCTCCCCCTCTCTGGATTGCCTCCCTCTTCCATTCTTAGGTCCTCCTTGACCAAAACAGGGTTGAGCTAAGAAATTTCTTTCAAAAGAACCTGCTCTGAAATAAAAGACGGGTCACCCAACACAAACCACAGCAGACCTTGATTAATTTGGAACGACCAATGCAAGTTGTACGCCCAGGAAGGAACACCATCCAGCAACAGACCAGAAGCTCCCCCAAAAGATCCCAAGATCGACTTAAGCTGAAAATGGAATCCAGACCCTAGGCTGGGAGAACCTATTTTCAATCATTGGAAGGAATACAACGGAGATCGAAGTGCAAAAAAACGTATCTTTCCTGTATTCCGTTATCACAAAATCATAGAACCGTGTAGAGATGGAAAGGACCACAAAAATGTATCTGTCCCCTCCAAGCCTTCAGCAATCTTCAGGAAAATCAATTGAACCGGCTTCCAGAAATGGCTGCCCAAGCTGTTTTGAAAAGCCTCCAGAGATAACAAGGAAGGAGAATATTTGTAGCTTAGGGTTGAAATGACGGGTCCTTGGTGCTTCTCTGAGCTTGCTTGTTTTCTTGCAGATGTTTCATTACCCTGAATTTCACTCCCTTCTAGCACTGATGATGTTACCTAGTTGGGTAATGAAACATCTGCAAAAAAACAAGCAAGCTCAGAGAGTACCCAGGACCCCATAGGCCTGCCTGCCTGCCTGCCTGCCTGCCTGCCTGCCTGCCTGCCTGCCTGCCTGCCTGCCTGCCTGCCTTCCTTCCTTCCTTCCTTCCTTCCTTCCTTCCTTCCTTCCTTCCTTCCTTCCTTCCTTCCTTCCTTCCCTCCCTCAATTCCATTCCCTTCTAGCACTGATGATGTTACCTAGTTGGGTAATGAAACATCTGCAAGAAAACAAGCAAGCTCAGAGAACACCCAGGAACCCATAGTCCTTCCTTCCTTCCTTCTCTCCCTCCCTCCCTCCCTCCCTCCCTCCCTCCCTTAATTCCACTCCCTTCTAGCACTGATGATGTTACCTAGTTGGGTAATGAAACGTCTGCAAGANTGATGATGTTACCTAGCTGGGTAATGAAACGTCTGCCAGAAAACAAGCAAGCTCAGAGAGCACCCAGGACCCCTCATTCCAAAGACAAGTCACAACCTCAATTAAGCGGACCGTTCCAGTAGATATTTCTCCCTGTTTTTAAATGAAATCTAGGAAGCTATTACTTACACCCATTCTTTCTAGTCTGTTTCGGTGGCTATAGAAAACAATTTCTGCCCATTTTTCCTGTAGCCTCTGGTTAGGGACCGGAAGAAAGCTATCATGTGTCTCACAAGCCTGCTTTTCTTCAGCCTGAACATTCCAAGTTCCTGTCCAGCCAACTTGGCTTTTCTCCTTTGACCGTAAGACGAATTTCTACAGCCTCCTTTCACCATTACTAACATTTAGACCAATTAATCATTCGTTACAGTTATGACTCTTTGGGTTCTTTCCAGATGACTCACCCGGCCGAGGCTTTCGGAGCTGAGCATAATAACTCATGAGCTAGGAAGCTTCACCAAGGGCTACAATCCTAGGGGGGTCAGCGCCACCGTCTCCCCCCGTTTGGGGATCAAGTAAGGCAGAGTTCCCCGACATTCCTGGCTTTGTGGATTTGCGGGGAGGGAGGGAAGAGGGGATGGTTCTGGGCGAGCAGCTGGCAAGCATGCACACTGCGTGAGCATCGTGCACGTGCGCCTGCCACTCACTCAAATGGGCCACGCACACGTTCGCCCACTGCTCGTGCAAGTAAAGATGGGCACGCATCAGCTGTTTCCGCGGCCCAGTTGCAAACCCCTCATGGCCAACTAGCGGGCCACCGCCCACAAGTTGGGGACCCCTGAAGTAAGGACACGCCAGAGATGGGGGAAGACTCTCCCCACAAGCGCGAGGTAGAAAGGGGAGATGGGGTTGTGAAGAAGGAAAATGCGTGGGTGACTTCAAGCGGACTGCAACTCTGAGGTCAATCATCCCTTGCTGAGTCATTCAACCTTCAGCCCTGCCTGTAGAAGATCAGCAAGATAGGGAGAAGGATTTGAATGCTATCTTCTTCTTGTGTCACTTTTTTTGTGTTGTTGTTGTTGTTGTCTAAAAGAGCTTTTTAGGAAAAAAAAATGAAGGGAGAAACTTGAACGATAGGAGACTACATCACCATTCAGGCCAGGAATTCTCTCTAGATAGAAGAAGAAAGAGGAGGCAACGTCCACCCAACGAGCTTCAAACTGTTATGAAAAGTGGGCCACAGGGACTGAGCGAATTTCTGGAGACTGGCGAATCCTTTCTTGAAGACTCAGAAATCTGCTCCCTTGCACTCAATTAAAATGAAGGACTGCGAATAGATTGCTCTCCGTTGGGTGGAACATCTGGAGGAGATTTGGGACTGCGGAGATGATGCTCAGAGCTACAAGCAACCATGGGACTCTTGAATGAATTCTTTTGGTCCGGAAGGTCAAAAGGTCCTACAAGTTTCAGTTAAGAAGCAGTTCCTCGGATGCCACCCCGAAAGATCTCACAATGGAATGGAATGGAATGGAATGGAATGGAATGGAATAGAATGGAATAGAATAGAATAGAATAGAATAGAATAGAATAGAATAGAATAGAATAGAATAGAATAGAATAATATGGAATATGGAATATGAATGGAATGGAATGGAATGGAATGGAATGGAATGGAATGGAATAGAATAGAATAGAATAGAATAGAATAGAATAGAATAGAATAGAATAGAATAGAATATGGAATATGGAATATGGAATATGGAATATGAATGGAATGGAATAGAATAGAATAGAATAGAATAGAATAGAATAGAATAGAATAGAATAGAATAGAATAATATGGAATATGGAATATGAATGGAATGGAATGGAATGGAATGGAATGGAATGGAATAGAATAGAATAGAATAGAATAGAATAGAATAGAATAGAATAGAATAGAATAGAATAGAATAGAAGCTGAAAGGGACCTTGGAGGTCTTCTACTCCAGCCCCCTGCTCAAGCAGGACACCTATACTATTTCTGATAAATGGCTATCCAGTCTCTTCTTCTTAAAAACCTCCAGTGATGGAGTGCCCACGATTTCTGGAGGCAAGCTGTTCCCCTGGTTAATTGTCCTCACTGTTAGGAAGTTTCTCCTTGATTCCAGGTTGCTTCTCTCTTTGATCAGTTTCCAACCATTGTTTCTCGTCCTTCCATCTGGTGCTTTGGAGAATAACATGACCCCCTCTGCCTTGTGGCAGCCCCTCAGATACTGGAAGACTGCTATCATGTCTCCCCTATTTCTTCTTTTCCTTAGACTAGCCAAACCCAAGTCCTGCAGCCGTTCTTCGTATGTTTTCATCTCCAGGCCTTTAATCATTTTAGGATCATTTAGATCTGGAGGACCTGCTTGCTGACCAGAGATGAAAGATTTCCACACCTTGTATGCTGTAGCTGTGTGACCTATGGGTGGTGGGACGGATGACAGGAGCTGCGATTTAATATATTTGGTGGGTACTGATGGTAGATAATTGTGCAGAAGGCAAAAAGTGTCGTCCAAGAGGGCTTCTCTAGTAAATTGCTTTTTTTTTCTCCTCCAACACTTGGTCACCCCAGGACTTACTCAACCGGAAGTGTCATATGGAAATTAATCACAGCTTGCACCAGCAGTGAACTTCTCCATGTGCAGAAACCTCTTGAAAAATAACAAACAAAAGGGATCTAGACCTCCCTCTCAAAAACGGACTTCGCTTTTTGGATTTTTCCATTCAAGGGACCAAAAAGTTTTGGAACAAACACTTCTGTCGTTCCTTCTTTCCTTGGTGGTCTCTTAAGGACCCCGGATGGTTAACACACTCAGTCAACTCCTGCACATTAGATTGCTCGAATGGTTGCAGCAGCAGCCAAAAAAACTAACACAATCCTGGGTTGCATAAACAGAGGCATAGAATCAAGATCATGCAAAGTATTAGCACCGCTTTATAAAACCCTAGTGAGACCACAACCTGGAATACTGCAACCAATTTTGGCCACCATATCACAAAAAAGATGTTGAGAGTTTGGAAAAAATTCAGAGAAGAGCAAGTGAGATGATCCAAGGCCTGGAGAGTAAAACATACGAAGAAGGGCTGCAGGACTTGGGTCTGGCTAGTCTAGAGAAAAGAAGAAATAGGGGAAACATGATAGCAGTATTCCAGTATCTGAGGGGCTGCCACCAAGAAGAGGGGGGTCACGTTATTCTCCAAAGTATCAGAGGGCAGAAGAAGAAACAATGGTTGGAAACTGATCAGAGAGAGAAGCAATCTGGAATTAAGGAGAAATTTCCTGACAGGGAGGACAATTAACCAGTGGAACAGTTTTGCCTCCAGAAATCGTGGGCGCTCCAGCACTGGAGATTTTTAAGAAGAGATAGACAATCACTTGTCTGAGATGGTGTAGGTTCTCCTGCTTGAGCAGGGGGCTGGACTAGAAGACCTCCAAGGTCCCTTCCAGTTCTGTTCTATTCTATTCTCTAATGGGGGGCAACAGTGTGTGTGAATTGGAGTGTTTTTTCCCCACTTGGAGAAGAGACAACACTCTTTGTGCAAGCTTTCTATACAGGTAGTCCTCAACTTACGACCACAATGGAGCCCAGAATTTGCGCTGCGAAGTGAGACATCCGTTAAACGAGTTTGGTCCCATTTTATGACTTTTCCCACCACAATCGCTGCCGTCGTTAAATTAGTAACACGGTTGTTAAGTGAATCCGGCTTCCCCCCATGGACTTGGCTTGACAGGAGGTCGCAAAAGAGGATCG